GTAAAGCAGTTTTTGTGTATTTCCTAGTAATCAGAATTTAGAAAACACTCATAGTAACTCCCAAAAAATAGCTGTTTGAATTTGGCGCGAAGAAATTAATGGAAAGTAAAAAATTTTAGGAAATTTGACTCACCTCATCAGCTGATGTGGAATGTTCGACTTGTGTGAATTGCGCACGGCGCTTTTCCACAAGTCCTTTTGGTGGTGATTCTCGTGCACGAATCATTATCGATTCGTTTGTGGGCTGCGGCGACGACAAACTACTAATCGATAATTGGCTGAAAGAAAATCGATAACTTTAAAGACTATTCTGCACAATAATTGTATAGAAAACACTTTTTTTGAAGTAATGTGAGGAATTTGTTAATGCTTGAAGATAAAACTGTAAATTAAAGGGCGTCTTCACAGGATCAATCGATATATCGATTACTGAAATGCTGAGAACAATGGTCTGGACGTTGCGTTTGCAAGAAAAACTGAAGAGGGATTAAAAGGATTTGTTGGGATGACAAACAAAGTGACAAGCAGACAATGACACAGACGGCGCCAGTAGTTTGACTAAATGACAGACAGTGAGTCCATTAGAAACATTAAGGTTGGCCTAGAAATTGATGCTATAACGATCCGATATGGCTCATAAGCGTCGAATGAACTGAATCTGTCGACATTTTCGATCTTTCTCCTTTCGGTGAGAAGTGTCGATTGTTCAAAGGTGCCGACATCGTGAGAAAAATCGTTTTAAATCGATTACGAATTAATCCAAAGGGTAGTATTCTATATAATTTCTGATTATTTGTCACTGATAGGAAAGTGTACATAGTGATTTTCAAAGAAGTGCACGTGGGAAAAAAGCAGCAAATCTTTACAGTTTTTCTAGTTCCACCTAGTCAAATAAACCTAAACCTTAGTTTTATGCTTTGGTTATCTATAAATTTCTTAAACTGTTAATGAAATGGGCTGATGTGGTTTAAAGAAATCGAGCAGTTCTTAAAGATGTTTTGCTTCTGCATGCATTTTATCGTCGTAAGAAAATTGGGTTTAAAGTCCAAAAGAATGTTTTCTAAACAATAGAGCATTAAACATGGAGAAGGCTTTGGTAAATCTTCAAAAATTGGATATTATCATATTTATATATTTTCCTTGCAAGTTTGCATGATCCATGCGTTATGAGTTAGCTGATTTTTCAAACTTTAAATGTAAAACGAAACAAAAAAAAATAAGATATGACAGTATTGCTGAAATTCTCTAATAACCATCAATTGAACCAGTAATAGCTTATTTATAAGAAAATGACAATCCAAAACTGCGAAAAAACAGTATATTCCACTACAACAAGAACCAAACAAAAGAGAAGAGAAAGTTTTGAGGCTAACTGGAATTTTCGGACGGTGTTTTATTTAGTGACCAGATGCGGAATAATAAATGTAGTATTTGCAAGAGATTTACATGAGCTGCAGAATTATTTGCTGCAAAAATTGTTACTTTAAGGCTACGCTGATAAACTAACTGATATAAGTTGGTTCGTAAAAATATCGAGAGGAAATCAGGGATCGCAACTATTAATTCTCTTAATAAAGTGAGCATACACGGAGTGTGTAGGAATAAAGGAGGAAATAGGCAATTCA